CTATGGCTTTTTATATCAGAAATTCTTTATGTTATCGAGGAAATGCAATCCGTTTATGTTCTCTCATAAAGTAAAAAGCTATTAAATTTCACTGTTTCAGCTTATTATTTGATACTTTTTGAATTATAGGCTATCATCTTCATCAAGATTTGTTGTATTTCCTTTGTGTTGCTTTATTTGGTTTTTGTGTGAACGTTTTAATTATTTGTGTACTTAATATGTGTGCAGTTTGAAACTTGTAAGTGCAAGTGTATAGTATATTGCATTTTAGATAGGCATATCTAGTGCGCATTCTCAGCTTCTTATGGTGTGAGGACTTTGCTGAAGTTCAAAATTTATTCTTTTTTTGTCTAATCTGTTCTTGCTGCTGCTGTAGCATATTAGTACTTTGACCAATTTAACTGAAGCGCTAAAAATCTAACTATTGATGTAGGACACATGTCAACAGCTCCTACTGTCAACCTCCATTTTTCTAGTAAGTATATCTCCTTTCATGTTATTTCTGGTAAAATGGTGCAAGCCTTATTGTCAAGTTTCAATGTTGTTTAATTTGTTCTCTGTTTCTATCTTTTAACAATAACTAGTGCATTTTTGTAACTTCTCAGGCTCATGCACTACTACTAAGTTCTTGTCAAGCAAATGCACCAACAATAAATTTCTTCAAACTCAGAAGGTTAGTGTTAGCATATAATTTTATTTTGCAAATAGAAATCTGGAAGGTAAATTTCTTTTCTTAATCCCAAACATAGAAAGGAAAAATATCATTTTTTTTTTTTTTGGGAAGATCAATTAAATGTCTTGGGGTGTCAAATATTTTTGCGGTCTGACAATGTAACTTGGAATTTTGTCAAGTAAACTAAGCAGTGTACTTTCATATGCACAAATTATTTAGTATGTTGAGACTAAGATATTCAAATTGTTGTAAGGTGTTGCAGGCTACTAGGATGTAGTTGAATTTGTTATGAGTTTTATCATATTTGTTGACCCCAAAAAATGTTGCCAACAGATGCCGGGCCCACTCGTGCACACGTAAGCTTAATCCAGCATGCTAATGCCAATCGACGGTCATAAGGACTCCAGAAAATG